GGCTCACCTTCTCTGCCCTAGGAGCTTGGGATGGTGGTGGGGGAGCTTCCTCCCAGGTGCTGGGACTGGCTCAGCTTCTCTGCCCTAGGGGCTTGGGATGGCGGCGGAGGAGCTTCCTTCTGGGTTCTCTTGTCCCTTCTTTTTACAGAAACTCCCACAGCCTCTCACCCCAAATTTGGTTGGATTATATTCAACTGGATCAGATTTGATTAGGTGACTGCCTAATGTGGTGTTTCCCATAATGTAGTTACTTGTACTGGTTGCCTTTTCATCTTTGAATCTCCTTACACAACTAAATGTTTGCTCTAAGTATTGGTACTGGTTCTTATTCATTTTTTAAAAACTTTTTATTTTGAAATAATTGTAGATTCACAATAAATTACAAAAGAACCACAGAAATGTCTCCTATATGTCCCTTCACCCAGGCTCTGCCAGGGTTACACCCCACAGGGCTGTGGTACAATATCAAAAACAGGATTTTGACATTGGTACAAAATGGATATGGTTTTATGCCATTTTCTCACACAGGTAGATTAGGTGATCTCTTTATATCCAAAGACTCAGTGCAGCGATTGGTACTAAATAGCTTGACAAAAGATAGATGGATGGCTGAATTAATAAGCATGTGAGTGGGTTTTCTGAAGAAAGTAGTGACACCTCTAATTCCCAGTAAAACAATTTAAGCGGCAAAGCCCTGTCACCACCCAAGTAACTCTGGTATCTGGGGTCTAAGAATTGTGTGGCTTTGCCCTGTGATTGTGGGGTATTTAATTTTAATTTAACCTTGTTTAAAGGCAAGGTTGGCCTCTGTCCCAAAAGAAATTACAGCTTTTAATGTCAAGGAATTGTTGAGCTCACAGAGCTTGTCTCATTGATTTAATAACTTCCTGATATTAAAAATCTGTGCTTCAGGTTAGCACAAATACAGATATCAGTGCAGTAAACCATTTCCAGTTTAAAGTGAAGCCAAAGCTAATTAAGATACAAGGAGGAGACCTCAGAGCAGAGATTCTATTCAACACTGGATTTCCGTAGGGATAATTCTCAAGTGTATTTACTCAGCACAGATCATATCACTGCTATTCTCAACAGAGGTCTCCTTTGTCATCCTCTTAAGCTCAGGGGAGCTGTCTCAGTTTCTTTCCTCTCCACTTCAAGAGATCTTAGTATGCTTGCCTTGCTCTTATTCATTCCCATCAACAAACACTTTGTACCATACCATTTCCTTGGCAAGCCTTCCTGGTTCTGTTTTCTTCTGAGCCTTCCAAAATTTACATTCAGAGACCTTTTCTCTTTGCAGTTCCACTCTTCTCTCATTTTCAAGCATGCTTGTCTCCATGTGATTCCATGCTTAGCCCTCTTCTGTTCTTACTGTATGTTCTCCAGGAGAAGATTTATTTATGACAGTATTTTAGCTCCAGAACCAAAATGACCAGTCCAGACATGTTGATCCAGACCTGTAAATCTGTGTTCCTCTTTGAGGTCTGCCAGTAAATGTCAGAATCCCTCCAGATAACAGGTCTAAAACTCACTTTCTCTGTTGAACTTACCTACTCATCTTCATTTTTTCAAGCTGTCTTAATTAATCATGTCATGCATCTATTTGCTCACATAGAAAACTATAAGTTTTATCCATGTTTTCTCCTTCTTTCTTACTCCCCAGATCAAACCAAACAATAAGACTTCCTAAAATTGGACCTCTCGTGTTTATTCACTCCTCCAATCTTGTCACCAAATATTAATTTACATTTTTCCTTTTATTCTTTTTACCAAGAAGAATCCCTTTGGCTTAATCCCTTTCAAAGAAGCTCCAGTTCTTTCCCATGCTTATGGTGGCTAACCTAGTCTAAGACATTTCACATGACTTCCTTCCATCCCAATTCATCACCACACATATTTACACATTTTCAAACCTTTGATCATGTTCTCACATTAAACAAGCACCCCCAATATTAATAATAAAAAATATTTATGCTTTAAGTAATGAGGCTAAATAATATTTTTTAAAATCTTGCAAACCTGATTCATTTATTCCAATTTTTGGTGTTCATGGCTGTCATAGCTGGAAAATATACTTCACAGAGGTATAATGTGAAAAAATTCTATAATATGTACAATTAAGGTAAGGATCATCACTGGCAATTGTGGATTTAGTATATAATTCAAAGCAATGTTTCTGACACATTCAGTTATTTTGAGTCAACCTCTTGTTGGATAAAACTTAACTAATGAGGTCTTTGTTGTTTTTAGTTTCCTCACACATGATGGCAAAGAGCTTATACAAGGAGAGACATCAGTGATGCTATTTCTCAGGCTCTGTTTATGTTTGCATTATTTGTTTCAGTATTATCTTTAATCCAACTATTATGTTTGCATTATTATTTCCATATTACCTTCAGTCCAAGGCTCTTTGCAGATAACTTTTTAAGGACTTGTCATTTTGTCCAAACTTGTTTAGGTAGAACACAACCCAGAATGGCAACGCATCTTAGGATTCATAGAAAATAACACACCACCAGGTGCCACTGAGCTGCTTCTGAGATGTGGTTTCTTATCCTTCCTTTAAGACACTTCACTTGCTGCTTACATTTCTAAATGAGGACATTAGTGTCACTTGTATAGCACCTATTGGCGAAGACTACATTTTTTTTCATTTTAGATTTTTTAAATGAATATAAATGCAGTTCTAATTTTCTTCCCATGTCTCATAGAATAATACAATCACCCCCAATTGCATATACCTCTTTGAAGCCTGCTCATCTACCAAATTTCCAGATTTGCTGGTGTAAAGTTCAAACCTGTCACTCCAGTGCTTTGAATCTTCAGGAAGTCTTCATTATCTACTGAGTATAAGCCAAAATTCTGAGCATGGGTTCCTAATAATAGGTCCGGTCACTCTGAAGTGTGCACCTTCCCTAACTGAGCCATTCTATGCAACTCTGCCTTGACACATCCTGTTCCCTTGGCCTATGGTCACTTCCACCTCCCATCATCTTCTCCCTAAAATTCCCTCTGGCCTCTAGAAAAGGTCTGTTGTTTGCTTCCTGGTGCTACTAAGGTATGTGTGTCTCCAGTTGTCCAATACACTGGAGACCAAGACTTACCCACCCCATGTGCAGTCTCCTCCCAAGGGCTCACAGTAGCCTCCCCTGCACTGTTTGGTGAGTAAGTGGCCATACCCAGGCATGTACCCCAGTCCATCTCAAACCTGTACTGGGTTCTTTACCTCTGGGGCTCTGTTATCAAATAACTTCTCCAGCCTCCTCTTCTCTTTCCACAAAATCCTTCCATTTTCAAGGCCCCACTCCATGCCATCTACCCTGTGAAATTTTTCCTTAATGTCACTTCTTCACCCACTGCCCGCCCCCCTTCAAAAGCAAAGCACAGTCGTAGGCAAGCTGTTCTTCTCTGCAGCCTCATATCCACCTCCCCCCCAAGCATAAAGTCCTCAGCACCTTCTGCCTTGTGCTGTCTTTCTGAGGCTCTCCTTGTTTTCTCCCCCATTGTGATATTTGATCTTCAGGGAAAAGACTCTGACTCTCAGCAAGGCACCTAAGTAAGGCACAGAATTAGAGACACAGCAGCACAAAATAACTGAGACAAAGACTATGGACCCTATCTGGCATACACATCTCCCCTGTCAGGAGAACTCAAATCACAGGAATAAATGCATTTCAGAGCACCATCAGGATCAGTGCCTGAAAAATACACCGACCATGCTTCCCACAGCCCAAGTCTCCTGAGACCTAATGCTCCTCTCCAAAGATCCACTATTCCCCCCGCCCATGTCCCATTGCAGGAGTGAAGAGGGACTATAATGTATAAGTGAGGCTCTGTTTATTTTTACAAACAATAGGGACACAGTTACACAGTGAAACATACAACTTTATACAGCAGACTACCATCACAATCAATCCACAGGGGATTTCAGTACATAAAAGCAGTTCTTGGAAAAAGTCAGGGTCACATGGAAACCCAATCAACATAAGTCCTAAGCCATTAGTCACTTAGTGCTAGAGCAGCACTTGCCCCAATATGTGCTGATGCAGATCGGTGCAAGACTGCAGACCTGAAAGCACTCACTCCATGGACCAAAGGAGTGCAAGTATAGATCACAAAAAAGAAGGGACTGTGTCGTGATGCCATTGTCAGTATTTGGGGGCCTTTCTCAGGCTTAGGGTTGCTTTCAGGGTTGTGCTTCTGAATTAATTCTTAGGGTACAGATGGAGGAGGAAAAGAGGGAGACAAAAGAAGAGATCCTTGTATGCCGGAGAAGGCTGTCTTTCTGAGTCTAGCCTGGAATGCCCACCACTCTCTCTTTACCAGTACTGAGCAGTGTGCACATGAGCACACTAGAGAGAGGCAGAGGGCGGGAAAACATTATAAGATGCAAGGCGCACATATAGTAAAATCTCCAAAGACTGGAATTTAGAATATACCTTTCAGTCTGGGGCTGGGGATGTAGCTCAGTGGCACCGCACCTGCCTGGCAAGCTCAAGGTCCTGAGTTTGATTCCTGGTACCAAGAAAAAAAAACTGTAAGTCAGTCCACTCACTAGCACACCTGAAGTAAGAAACATATGCCCCTGACCCCAGTCATCCTCCTCTGAGGATAATAGTACCCAGCTTAAGAAATTTTTCTAAATAAAAGCACGATATCTGAAAATGCCTCACACATAGTGCTCCTTTAGCCCATATTTTGTTCTGTGTATGAATTTGCAATTTGCTTTTTCCTCCTAATGTAAGAATGAGATTTTTATGAGCATCCCCTAGCCTCAAAGGTTTAATTTCTACCACAGCTGTCTTCCTGTCTTCCAAATTTCTTTTCATTTGTTTGGACAAAACTAAATTATTTACAAAGATGTGCTACTTGGAGAGGTTTCTTTGGCTTCCCCTTGTGACCAGTCGGGAATTATGTGTGAATGTGGCCTCTTAACTGGGCATATTTGAATTAAGATTATGTGTGGCATGTGCACACTCCACCTTCCAACAGTAAACAAAGAAGTTGCTAAAAGTGAACATGCAAAACCTCTTTTCTTTGCCAGAGATGTGAACTAGTAAAAGGATATAAATTTTGTGGAAAGTCAGGTAGGATTTCAGGCTTCAAATGTTCCCTAGCAAAGAAGGCCCACCAGTTCTTCCAAGAGCCTGCTTGATAGCTACAGGTAGCTTGGAGAAATCTCTGATTTCTGGATTTGAACAACTGTGATTACAAGTTTGACTCCTAAACTGAATAGCTGTGATGAGCTCAGCTTTAAGGGTAGGACTTGCTCAGATAGTGTCTTTGGAGGCTGAGTTTCTACAGAGATTTTGTGCAGATTCGGGACACCAGAAGTCTGACTTGATTTAGATGTTTGTGTCAGAGGCACTGGAAAACTTAAGTCATATACCAACTTTTTTAGGTCCAATATTTGCCACCCAAGTCCTCACATCAAGGATGGGAAAATGAAAGTTAAGGTCATGGTTCAATTGTTTCTCTTAAAACCAGAAGAAATGGAGAAATTAAAACTCTAAAGTGTTTACTCAAACTCAAAAATTTTGGCATTGTGAAGTCATTTCTATCCAGTCATCAGTTTGTCAAAAGACAGTTTCCAGTGTGATCCTTGGTGAAACCATTATTACTGCCACCACCCATGATTTACTGAGTGCCCCTGAGAAGGCAGACGTGTCATTTGTTATCATCTTCATCTCCTAATTATGTCTTTGCCTTTTGGTTGCACAGATCTTGCTGGGTCAGAAATACAACCATTCCGTTGACTGGTGGTCCTTTGGTGTTCTTCTCTATGAAATGCTGATTGGGCAGTCACCTTTCCATGGGCAAGATGAAGAAGAGCTTTTCCATTCTATCCGCATGGACAATCCCTTTTACCCAAGATGGCTAGAGAAAGAAGCTAAGGACCTTCTAGTGAAGGTAAGAAATGAAGACAAGGGGATTTTTTATATGATTACCATTAGGTTTTTCTGTTTAATATTTCCATTATTTTCTAGATTTTAACTTATGCATGATAGGACACTCATTCCTTGCACTGAACTGGATTTAAATGGGATATACACTGGGTGTTTTACCTGTGGCACAGAACCTTGGGCATTAAAGTGAGTTTAAGATATACCCTTCTTGTGCTCCATCTATAGAAGAAATGCCCAGAAACTAGTTCTATGACTCCTGAATGTCATTGTATATGGAGATGCAGATGGGCCATTGAGTGGTAATAATTTGTGGCTTAAAACCCTTTTGTTTCCTGTATTAAAAATATTCACTCTAGTTCATAACTTCCCTACCCTGGTTAAAACATTAGACAAGATGTATTACTTTTCAGCTCACTCTCGAGTAAAAGCAAATCTGTTGTCCTACTTACATCGTAAAACAGTGCCTCAGTTAAGAAATTAAAACTACCCAGTACAAGATATTAGTCGTCATATCGATCTTAATATGAAAACTATGAGTTCTGCTCCCTTTCTTCTTGTCTGAGCAGCTGCTCACCTTTGGAGAAGTGACTGTAGTCAGGTTGCAGCTGACTGTGTCCTTGTCCTCTTCCTTTCTGACTCTCGAATCTGCTTCACACCATACCAAGTTGAAGCCAAGAGATGATAAAAGGATAAGGAGAAAGAAGGGTTCCTATAGGGCTAGGTGGCTTCACACTCTTTGAACCTGGCAGATGTTAAAGCTGAGACTTTTGTGAGGTACTGTGTATGTTCTTTGGAAATACTTATGCTTGAGGACATTTTTAGCTGAAACCTTTGACATATAAGCTAGTCACCCCATTACTGAGCATAGGTACTATACCAAAACCAAAACTATTTAGGTAGCACTTTCTTCCCAGTTTGTTGCCTGCCCTGCATATTGTCTTATGCAGTACTTAAAATGCATGCAGAGCAGCTCTTCCCTGGATGCCTGCTTGTTGTGCACTAGAAATACTGATGCATCCTTCACCCTAACACACTCTGAGAGGGGTGATTGTTACCATCTTAGCAGCAATGCCCAGACTTTACCATCAAAGCAGAAGTCAGACCTCCATTCGTAATAGTCCAGAATGTGTTAAGAATCCACATACAGTGCTGTCAATAGAGACAAGGCTCTGAGAATCACATGCTATGAACTAGGAGCTCCCAAGGCAAACAGATGTAGACATAGGAACACTGAGAGCCATAATTAAGTATTAGTACTTTAAGTAGAACTCCAGCTCTCCTTTTCTAAGGATACAAAACATCCACTTGGTAAGAGTGTAATAAGTTGTAAAACAAATATAAATTATGCCAACACAGCATGCCAAATAGATATAAGAATAATAAGTCCCCACATTTATTATGCTGTCTCAGAAAACATTTGGATCAGAGAAGCCCACCAGTGTGATCGAGAGTCCAGCAAACCTTGAATATAGACAAAGAAGTAGACCAAGAATATAAGTGCTTTCTCGTAAGTGCAAGGTCCTGAGTTCAATCCCCAGTACCAAAAAAAAGAAAGAAAGAAAGAAAAAGAAAAAGAATATAAACTCTTTGGGAAATTCTAGACTCTCATATGTAAGCTGGTTGAAAATTATCATTTAGAGAGATAATTTTTAACTTTGCTCTCACTATCTTAAAAATGGAAATAAATTCTTCAATATCAGTATCACTGGGTTTTAAATCAAAACTTTGAAAAATATTTCCAAGCCTGTCTTTTTTCACTAGTCTTTTTTTTCTCTTGAAAAATTACTTGGAATTAAATTTAAAGGGCATTACACATCCACCTCTCCAATGCAAGTGACAACTTGTCTGAGGTATTAGAAATGTTGAGTTAACTCCAGAGCTGTCCCTGGGAATCAAAGTCTTGAATCTGAGAGGTGTTGAAAAAGCCTTGCGGTATGCCCAGATAAAAGGTAATGGAAGAGCGTGTTTAAAACTCTGAGCCTGTTTCATTTGGCTTTCACTTCCTATCAGACAGACAAGCAATAAATAAGGAAACTCCCTAAATGACCAATTAAATTGACTTTTAATTGACTGAACAAAATACATGTAAAATGAAAGATAATTTCAAAATTAACCAATAAGCAAAGATGAAAGCAGTAAAAATAATCTAGTAAGAGTTGATTAGAAGCTTTTATTTTATATAAAGCCAAGTCCAATCATTATTACCAATGTTACATTTACCTTACATTTGGCACTGTGAAGAACTCATTGTGAAGTGTACTCATCGGCTCTGCCTGCCGTAACAAGAGCTCACAGGCGAAGTGACTGGAAGAGCAGACAGTCATAACAGTTTTGTAGGTCACAGTTCACTGTCCCAGATCAAATTCTAGCAGGGTCACTTCCTGGTGAGGACTGTCTTAGTGGCTTAGAGATGTTCACCTTCTTTTTGTGTCCCCATGTCACCATGTGAGAATATGGTGAGAGAGAGACAGATAAACAGAGAGACACAGACAGGGAAAACACTCTGACCTCTCTTTTTCATAAAGAAACTAGCCCTATGGGTTCCACCCATATGACCTCATTTAACCTTAATTACTTTTCTGTAGTCCCTATATGTAGTCATATTAGGGGTTAGGACTTCCAACGTGTGAATTTTGAGAGGATGTAACTCTAACTATAGCATGAGGGCCATACTGAGAAGCTGGGAGCAAAAAAAAAACCCACTGGAAAAGAAAATGAAAGAGGTTAGGGTTGAGGACACCTTCAGGGGGCTGAGGGCACTTTCACACTCAGAGGCTGTGTTCAGAGACCCAGGAGGTCCTGGGTCTAGTTGCAGACCCCAACACCTGTCAATACCTTGTGAAGACCAGCTTTCCTACTGTGCCTCTCAGTCTGGCTCAAACACAGACAAGCACAGAGGACGAACCAGAGACAGAGGCTAGGTGGAGCTCAGCAGAAGTCACCATGGAAGGAAGTCGCAAGTGATGATCTCAAAGAAGAGAAAGACTGGGTAGGGAAAAAGGATTACTTCCAGTTGGGAGTGAAAAGATGAATATTTATGTGCACAAAAATCCAGTAAGCAATTACAAGGGACAAAATAGTGATACTCCAAACCACTTGGATGGATCTCAAGAGCAAAGAACTTATTTCAAAAGCTCACGTACTCTGAGTCCATTGATGTAACATGATTAAAATGACAGCATTGCAGAGATGGAAATCAGGCTAGTGGTTGCTAGGGGTTAGGGGAGTTGGAGCACAGGACGGGGTAGAACTACAAAGTGACAGCAAGAGGAAGCTATTTGTGGTGATGGAAGTGTTTGTATCTTTCCACACATGTGACAAAATGCCCTGGACACACACATCATTCGATTCCCAGCTCCTGGTTCTGGGATTTTTTTTTTTTTTGGTACCGGGGATCAAACTTGGGTCCTTGCACTTGCAGGGCAGGCAGCGGAACCACTGAGCTAAATCCCCAGCCCCTCCTGGTTCTGATATTGTGCTGAGATTGTAACATTGGGAGAGACTGAGTGAAGGGCACACAAGACATCTCAGTACTGGCTTCTCAATGTCCTGTAGATCTGTTATTTCAGAATGAAAAGCTTAACAACAAAACGAAATGAAAGGTTAACTGCCATGCAAATACAAAAAGAAAATATTCCCAAAATACCAGTGACAGAAGATAGACTTGCTACAAGAGTAGGAAATATATTTGATTGGAGAAAGCAAAAACCAAGATAATTAAAGATAAAGAACAAAGAAGCACCAGTAGGGAAAAGTGTTTTTAAGTCACTTGGAAGAGTTGAACTTGGTATTTCTCATGACTTGCACATGTTCCAGCAGTGAAGCTGAGAAAAATTAATTTCCACTATGCAATTTGCTGCCGACAGGACTGGTTTCTGCTTTTATTTCTACTCCTCAGTTGCTTCATCACTTTGATCTAACTGACTACACATCCTTAGGCCCCTTCTCTGCAAAAACTCAAAGGTAACACCATTTCTCAAAAATTTCCACCAGAGACTTCTTGTGATGTAGTGAAACCCAGAAGTCACAGGTCTTCTGGAAAAGCTAAACAAGGTAGCATTTTGTGACCTCTGCTGCAGCATCAGTATCGGACTGTGTCTGCCCCCTTTATCCCTCATGGGACATGGGTGGAAGTAGCACAGTCAACAAACAGTTGCAGCTCAGGAGAGGCTGCACTCCGTTGAGAATTACAGCTGGGATGCTTCTGTCCAGCTGATTAATGCCCCAGAAATGCCCTTTTCTTCCCCATTTATTCATCCGGGATGTCCGGTCCATTTGTTTGAAAATGATGGAAAATTAATGATCTTGAACAGTAATCTGTCTTCCTTCTAACAGAAAGATATGACTGAGCAGAGGCTGAGGAGGGAGAGTAGATTTCAGGGACAACATGTCACAGCTGCTGGTGGCCATCCTCTGCAGCTAGGAACTGCTTTCTGGCCCAAACTGTCAAGCGAACAAACTCCAGCTACATCCTGGCCATTTGTGTAAGAGCATTCTATTTCCTATAAATGTCAACAATCCTTCTGCCAGCTTTTTCAGAGAAAAGCAAGTTTTTCTTCATGAACTTGGTCCCCTTGTTGTACCTTTCCTGCCATAGAGCCATTGTGCTGGACCCCTGCAGGACCTATCACCCTCAGGAACATGGGCAGGTCACTTTGGTTCAGAAGAAAAGGTATAATTCACTGTTTTGTGTAAAACTAGAGAGAATACTTGACTTTAGAGCTGGATGTTATATTATCTTCTCATTATTCACTTCACTTTTAAAATATTTTTTAAATCCCAAAGGTATGTATATCAATCTCAGGAGACACTCTGTTTTGATGTTCTTGGTTCAAATATCACATTTGCTAAAAAAAAAAAAAAAAAAAGATCTAATGTAAAACCTAAATTGGTGAACACTTAGCCCAGGATAATTACTTATAACTTAATTCCCTGAAGCATTTCCATATAACATCAGCTAATTGGGGGTCCATTCTTAAGACACTTATTTGTCATAGATAATTA